AGTATTACATAGGACATCACTATTTTATTCTTTAAATTTTTCTGTTTTTTATTCCTTTTCATTATATTCATGTATTACTTCTATGATGAAAAATGAAAGCTGTTAAATAAGAAGAAATAATTATTTTAAATACATGATTAACTTAGCAAAATTTATCTCCCAACATTACTAGATCATTGCCTTGTGATCTTGTAAATGGGACTTACATGCCTATTATAGCCCAGTTTCCCCTGGATTCTTTTTACACCGCCTTTGTTAGTGCATGGTACTAACACACTCAGTTATAGGAAATGGGCTTGTGCAAAATAATGCTTCCAAAGTACATAGTGGAGACTCAGGGTGTGTACATTGCCTGTGTGAATGGATATGTGCATGGAAAAGAGACTGCTCACTCACCCAAACTTCAGAGTACCAAGTCAGGCATGTGAAGGTATGGTAAAATAAAGGTAGAAAGTCTGCTAGCTCATACACAGTTTCTAAGACACACCAACGTTTTATTTCCAAATGGGTTCTCCAACATGAATTATTCATAAGTCTGAATCATATGGATCTAAGATAATTATGTATATTAAATATCCATCTGCAGTACTGTGGTAGCTCTTAAGATCACCGTGGGTGCTTTTAAGAAGTACATTTCCAGATTCTACTCTAGATATACTGGACCATCTAAAGCCTGATCCCAGTAGTCTCTAAAAAGCTCTATTGATGAACCTTAGTCTTACAGATCCATGTAGGTAGAGGTATGGGCATTTGGAAAACTATTGTCCTAGGAAGCTACAATGGAATTCACTTGGACTCTCTTTGCTCAGTGCAATGAAAGTGCTTGTGCCTTTTCTCTATTTGATAAACTATTTATGCTTTGTTAATTTTTAAAGGGAAATGAAATACTATAGAGACAGTTGCAATGCTATCATTCTCTATCTTTTAATCCTGTCCTGATGTGTCACATGTTAGTAATCTTCCCCTCTAACCACTGGAGACACACCTACAGGTGAAAAAATTGTGTTTATTGTTGAAGCAAAGCAGAACAGATATTATAGAGAATAGCAAAAAAAAAAAAAAAAAAAAAAAAAAAAAACAAGGGGAGGACCATTTGAAAGAGCCTTGTGTAGGATTTGAACTTTGGTTGAGTAATTTGGAGAAGAGTCTAAATAGACAGAAGGTGGCATCAAGATGCGGGGGCATTTTATGATTGTGTATCTTGATAAACCATCAGTGTAGGGATGGCATGTCAACACGGGGAAGGAGTTATGACTGGTAAAGGAGTAGGAGGCTCTCACTGAGTTGAGGGTAGATGAGGGTAATTTGTGGGTTACATGATTACTTTGCAAGAATCAGGTGCAGCTGTTCAAGATGGAACAAGTCTTTGTAGGACTCGATCACTCCACAATAACTGTTAGGTGAGAGCATCAGATCACTTCTCAGATAAGAGACCCTCTCATGGATTCATGATTTAAATGAATTCATTTCCTTCTTCTCTCCAGTGTCTGCCTTTCCCTCATGTTTTTCTGCTTTCCTTTCTTTTCCTTCCTTGTCTTGGATACTTACTGAGTGCTGGGTCTGTGTCCTTCCCAGTTCTCCTTAGGTGTCAAGAGTCCCCTTATTACTAAGCATCTAGACTTGTACATGTATTCAGCTTCACCAGGTGCTGTCAAATTTCTTTCTCCAGTTTGCTTGCCTATCAGCTATTCATAAGACACGTTCTGCCAAATATTATCCTTAGCACTGGGCAAGTCTCCATACTTCTGAAGTATTTTCTGACTTGTGTGTGGTGGTGTCTTATAACGCTCCCATTTTCAGTTGTTACTGCGCATGCATATTCCTCTGTAGGAGCAGCCGAGTCTCCTGGCTGAAAGTGTGGCCTCTATGGTTGGGATGTCTGGGTCTGACTCCTCCTGGTTCTGATATTTGCTAATTGTGTGACCTTGAGCAATTGAAGATGTTGAAATTTTATCAAGGTTGTCATGAAGTTATAAATGTAGGGATCTCCCAACAGGGCTTGGCACATATGATATTATATAAACTCTAAGCCATGGTTGCCACTTGTGTTATTAATTTTGTTTCTTTTGCAGTGAAGTGCATATTTTTATCTCTTTCCCACTTGTAGGTTGGGCTCTTTGTCTTTTTGAAATTTGTTTTATAGTGTTCTTCATGCATTTTGCACAATAACCCTTTTATTATGTTTCTTTGCTTATAAATATTTTCTGTGGTTTTCCTTCTCCTTTTATATGTAGAGTTTGCTTTTCATGTATTAACACAAATACACAGAGCTATAAGTGTAAATAAAAATGATACACCTTAGTATTTGGCATAAATATGAAATATGGTATAATGTCTCTCAGCTGGCAGATAGATGCAGTAAATTGGCACCTCTTGCTTGCATTTTTTTAACCTAAAGATAAAGAACCTATAGTTATAGAATAAATGTATTGTCAACAACACAAACATGACCAGGCAGAAACGATGATTTAGTTATGGCCTTTGGAGCCACATCTGATTTGCAGAGGACTTTGTTTTGTTTCCTTATTTCATTGTTTGCTTGGAGCCAGCAGTGTAAGCTTGCAAAGTTTTAAAACTAATTGTCAAATTATTTCACATTAAAAATTTCAGCATTTCACTTACAACAGTAAAACCTAGGCTATTTGGCATTCTAGCTTGTTATCCATTGGCAATGCGGGTCTGTAGCTAAGTAACAACTGACTCCCTTGCATGGGGAATAATTTTCCAGCTTGTCAACACCCCCAACATGGTCAATATTCTCCCTGTCTTTGACCTAACTGGCAGATATCACTTATTGCTATGTATAATCTCCCATTTTCTCTACCCATTTACATTACCTGTCTGAACCCTGCAGTCAACTGTCTGTGTGTTTGATTAAAAAAAGGTAAGATATGGTAAAACTGCTGACCCCCCCCCAACAGCACAGAAACCACTAACAGGGGGACATTCATCATTTCAATGAGGGTGACTTCGTAATTATAATGATATTTTAAACATAATTTTAAAAACTGGTAGTTTTATTTTTATGTCATATATTCTGATGTTCACTAGCAACATAAATATCCATCAGTAAGAATGTTAAGTATGTTATACTTATATGGTAGTATTCTCTCCTATTTTTACATTGTTGATTTCAAAAAGCCAAGCTGTGTGATGTTATTGGTCTCTGTCTATTCCGGGCAAGGTAAGCAATCCTGGACTAGTGCGCAGGTTGCTTGCTGTCATGGCTGAAGTCTCTTGCTTCTTGGGGCTCTACACTTTGACTCACTGTGAGTACTTCCTTTCCCAGCTCAGAGTTAGAGTCTTCTAACTCTGCCTAAATGCCATGCTCTACCCAAGACATCAGTCACCACGACGTTGGCATCTTTTTTTTCCTTTCTAATTCCTTGAATTGTCTTTTCCCCTGAACTTCGGGCCAGTGGTTCTTATTAGATGCCTGTGCTTCCTTCGATGCCCATGTCCTAAGCACTTGATGACTTGAATCTCAGTATTAGCAGAGGAAGATTGGAGAATGAGGAGGATGATGGGAGCAGACTACAGGAGTCTGGAACAATATGAATCGGGCTTGTTTGAGATGGTGTAAGGAGTAAAAATTCCAGAGGTCACAAAGGAAAAGGGAAAAATGAATTAGTCAAGTGTAGGCAGAGTGAGGCAGTGCTTAAAGTAAGGGTGAGGAAGCAATGCTAGTGTTTTGTGCTTGATACAGTTGAGAAGAGAAGCTGAGTTGAGGTTTTGATTAAGGAACAAAGGCCCTATTACATGTCTAGTACATGTCTAGTATGTCTAGTATATGTCTAGGCCAACTTTTTCAAAGCTAAAAAGAAATATCAGAAATGTAATGTAGTTTGAGACTACAGTACTATATGCATTTGGGTTGTATGTATGTAACTGTGCCTGTTAACATGTGTATGTAGATGCCTGTGTACATACATGTGGAGGTCAGAGGTTAACTTTAGGTGTTTTCTTCTATAGCTTTTTTTAACCTTAATCAATCAATCAATTAATTAATTTAAAGATACAGGATATCCCTATATAGCCCTAGGTGGCCTGGAACTTGCTATGTAGACCAGGCTAACCTCCAACTCACCAAGATCCCCCTGCCTTTGCCTCAGGAGTGCTAGGATTGAAGGCATAGGCTATCACCTCATGCTTTAATCTAGAATCTCTTATTGAATCTGGAACTCACTTACTGGGCTAGGCTGGCTGGTCAGGAAGCCCCAGGGAACATTGGGACAAGCGCTTTGTTGACTGAGACATTTCCTCAGTCCAAGTAGCACTTTTGAACCTCCAAGAAAGGAAGTTCATCTCTTCCCTTGAATCAAATGCAAAGCCGTGTGTGTGTGTGTGTGTGTGTGTGTGTGTGTGTGTGTGTGTGTGTGTGCATATGTGTGTTGTGAGATGTCTTTCTGCATCTGGATAGAAGGGCTATCTCTATTTCAGAATCTTAAGGGGTTCACAGTCTGTAAATGGAGAGAACTGCTGGCCTGTGGGCTCCTTGTGTGCTGTTTTATGAGTAGTCATCGCTATGTGGGAGATGAGATGACTAGAGAAAGACTCCTGGAGGGCTAATGGCTTAATGTAAAACTGAAGTGGAGTGAGATGCTGCCGGGGATTAGTGTTCCCCAGGTCTATACTGAAGTCTGATGTCAAACCCGAGATATACACGGAGGAAATTAAGCACCATCCTGTGAAGTCACAGGGAGGATTTATCTCCGCCGATAACACAAAGTGCAAAATCTGAAATAACAGGTTCAAATTTCACAAACCTAATTTTGTATTTTTAAAACATATGCTGTGCAAGATGCTATCTTGCAAAACCACTTAGTCTGGATTTTCTACCGCACCCTGATCTCTCACCCTTTGTTTTCTCCAGGATACTTTTAGGCACCACCCCATGAAAACATAGGCTGGTTTCCAAAGGCACAGTAAACAGTGCTGTTTCTAGTATTTTTGTTTGTTTGTTTGTTTTGAGCACTAACACCTATTTGCTTTCCTCGTAGCAAAACTGCTGAGTTGTTGAGCAGACTCGACACAGACCTGAGAAACAGAAGTGCTTGTCAAATTGCTCCTCATGCTGGCCAGTCCTCAACATGGGTGAGTGGAAACTCATGCAGGGTACTGTCTGGCATGGTGTGGGATGTCTCTCTGTGTGCTGTGAATATGTTTTATTACCACTGGCTAATAAAGAAGCTGGTTTGGTCAATAGCCAGGCAGAATAGAACCAGGTGGGATATCCGAGCAGACATGGGAGAAAGAAGGCAGAGTCAGGGAAATTCTGCAGCTTCTATGTGGGGTAAGAAGCCATGGATCTTGTAGTAAAATATAGAATAATAGAAATGGGTTAATTTAAGTTGTGAGAACCAGCTAATAGCCTGAGATAATAGGTCAAACAGTTTGTAATTAATATTAAGCTCAGAGTGGTCATTTGGGAACTGCCTAGTGGGAGAGAAACCTCCAGTTACACTGGCACCTTTTGAAGAATTGTTTAGAGACCAAAGATTAAGGGCAGAGTGACAGATACAGCACAGAATGACCTGAAACCCTGACCCATCCCCACCAACTGCCCCTTGTGATGTAAAGTAATGCTTGTATTATGTATGTATTATGTACATATTATGTATGTATGTTACCATAACATAGGCATCCAAAAAATCCTTATTTTAGCCAGCCATCCAACCTATACCCTGCAATCTCTTACATTGTACAGAATAATGGGTTTCATCCTAATATTTTTATGTGTGGATACAATATATTTTTATCATATTAACCTTTCCCCATTAACTCCATGTTCCCTCTATCTAGTGTTCCTGGTTCTTTTTCTTTTCCCAAACAGCCCTTGCGTTTTCATGCTGTGATTATTTTTAATCTTGATTCTTTGTGTGAGAATATACATTTGCCATTTAACTGTTGCTTATTTCATTTAACATTATAACTTCCCATTCAATCCAGTGTCCTGAGGACAGTACAATTTTGTTCTTCATGGCAAAAGATAATCTGCTATAGTATTTCTACCACATTTTGTTTATCCTTCATCCTCAGAGAGCTGCTTAGGTTGACTCCATGATTTAGCAATGGTAAATGAGGGTAGGTAAGCTCGGCCAACCAGGTATATTGTATGCTGACATTGGTTCCTTTGCCTCACCAAAACATTTATTTCTACATATGATTCTAATAAAGAGAGACAAATCAATACTGGGAAAGCCGTGTGCTGAGCACAGAGCTATGCACCATCAGAAAGCTCCAGTGCTTTTAGAGAAAGAAGGGTGTACGTCAGGCTGTGTTCAGGCTCCTCCTGATAGAGGACACCTGAGCGGAAACTGGCAAAAATGAGTTAGGAAAATGAAGAGAGTCAGCCCAGGTGTCAGAATTAATTGACACAAGGAACAAGCGTGGTACTGGGAAGACGACTCACAAAGATGCAAGAGAGAAATAAACCAAGGGCGCAGGGAGTAAGCAGGCCCCTGAGGAGCTTTCCTCAACTGAGGTATCAGTGGCAAACTGGGTGGGGCAGGTTAATGTCTGCTTTGTGTAACACCTCCGGCTCCCCAAAGCTAGCCACATCACCTGGACCAGTGGTTCTCAACCTTCTATTGCTGTGACCCTTTAATATAGTTCTTCATGTTGTGGTGACCCCCCCCCCAGCACAAAATTACTTTTGTTGCTACTTCATAGCTGTAACTTTGCTGTTATGAATCATAATGTAAATATTTACATTATGGTCTTTGGTGACCCCTGTGAAAGGCTCACCTAACTCTCCACAAAGGGGTCATGGAGAACCACTGGCCTAGACAATGAGACACCTTGAAATGGCCCCAATAGGAAGCTGGTGAGGCTCCTGGCAGAAGAGCCACCGAGAACATTCTTGTGTCAAGTTGGAGGACTGTGGGGCCTGATGGGCCTGAAATGAGGAGAACAAGGAGGGTTTGAGATCTCTTGTATTTTCCTGGGACCACACAGACAATGGTATGAAACATAGATCCAAAAGGATTGAGAGCAAAGAACCTTTAGACTGGCTCTGGTGTGGGTGGCAAGCGATGAAGAGACTTGGTTATTGCTTGCTAGCTTGGAGGATACATGATGCCACTCTTGGAAAAAAAGAAAAAAAAAGATCGATCTTGCTTCCTATCCTGTAGTTATTCTGTTTTATTCTTTCCCTGTTTCTGATGTGGTGTTGTATACTCTAGACTTGTCTTTGTGAGCTCTGTAATCGTGTCACCCAAAATCCATCATCTCACTCCCCTCCCTGCAGAGCCCTGAAGGGGAGAATTGAAACACTGCAGGTCACAGCATTAAATTATGTGTGGAGGGCAAGTCCTAAAGTAAGTCTGGATAGCCTTGTGGCTGTGAAGGAAAAGAGGACAGCTAGAAACAGGATGGGTTTTGCTTGCCAGCATGGCATACTCTCTAGGTAGGAGCCTTGGATCCTGTGATGGGAAACATCAGTGGGACTGTGTCTGCTTGCTCCATTGATTTCAACTCATTCCTTTGATTTCACAAAACCATCCTGAATTTTAATAGTGCTGCCTATAATGCATCGGCTGTGTCTCCCAGATCTGCACAATCTGTGGATTGATTAGTGCACATGTAGCACCATCCCTTGAGCTATCAATAGGAAATATGGAGCAGGATCAGTCCCAGGATGGTTCCTCATGAGCTGCATGCAAGAGATACTCAGTTTTGACATCAAACTATTCATTGCCAGCGTTCGATGTACTTAACTGAGTTCTTACCCGTAGTGCATTATTCTACTTCTGTCTAATCCATATGCACAGGATTCTGAGAAAGCTTTGTGCAGCCATTTCTAATGCTTTGGGAAAGTCAGATATGCACATTGCGTTTCTGTGAGAACCATTTGTTCTCTGTTAAGAGGATTCTTACTCCAAGTTCAGAATGCGAGGGATGTGTCATTCCCATCTGCCTGTGTATGAGGAGCTGAAAGGACGTAACTTATTTTTTGTCTGTTTCCTAATTTTATTACACTCTTCAGTGCAATTTGTCTGAAAAATCTGCCTCCCCTATATTCTAAAAACTATTCCCTACGCATGATCAATGTGTCTTGATCACACCTGCCCTGCTCTCCCAACTCCAACTCCCCTGGTGGCACCAGCACATCTCTCTCCCAATTTCATGTCTTCTTTTTCCTTTTTAAATTTATTTATTTCTTTTACTAAACTCTTTTTTCATACAGTATATTCTGATATTCTTTCTCTTCCCCCAGCTTCTCCCAGATTCTCTCCACCTACCTCCCCACCCAATTTCTTGTTCTTTTTCTCTTTCCAAAAAGAAAAAGAAAAAGAAACCCCCAACAAATTAAAAAAAAAAAAAAAACACCAATAAGACAAAAGGAAAACAACAAAACTGAACAAAAAAGGCAGATAAGAAAACATGAAGTCTTTTCTGCATTGACTAACTACTTTGGGGATTGGATCTACAGTGTAGGTTCTTGGTTAGGGGTGGGGCTCTGTGTCCGTTTCTCCTTCTTTGTTCTGGAAGGAATATTTGCATGTCTTGTGTATTCTTGTCAGTCTCAATGAGCTCATGTGTTAACATTCCCCCTTCCACATAGATCCACATAGAGGGGAGGGCTTTGACCAAGACATCGAAGGATCGAGTGCTCCAAAGTCTCTCACTCTCTGCACATTGCTTAGTTGAGTTTAGTAAGTGCAGTCCATATATTTGGGAACGGGTCCTCTACCAGAGGTACCACTCTCTGGGAAACATGACTCCATGATTCTATCTTCCCCACCAGGCATCAACTACCAATAACTCCTCAGCTAAGGATGGAGCCTTATAACTCTCCATAAGCTAATCAAAATATATTTTAATATATGCATATATATGCATATATAATACACACATATATGTATGTATGTATGTATGTGTGTATGTATGTATGTATGTATACTGTATAGGTATACAAGGTTGTTTTCAAAATACCTGAGTTGGTAAAAGGAATTCTCAGTGCCAAGCATAGGTTAGCTCCCCATGAGTCCTTACACACATTCCTAATTTGAACATATATCTACCATTGGGAGATAGGGATTTTATAAATACTATGTAATTATATGGATAAAAAAGGCTGCAGGAAAATTCCTTTGTGCATTAGAATAAAGCTCTTTTGAGGTTTAGGACTTTAGACAAAAGGCATCTGCAGAATTTGCTTACACTTAAATGGTGTCGCTCTCTTTAGTAGGCATGTATGTGTTGGGTTATTGTGGGTGCAGAAATCCTTTCTGAAATATGAACACTGGATATTCTCAGCCACATTCTAAGTAGTTTCCTGTCCTTGCTTTTTTCCCCCTCTTCTGCAAATATATATATATATATATATATATATATATATATATATATATATATATTCTTTGAGAACATTGTTTCAATACAATGTGTTTTGTCATATTTACTATCCAGCTTTTCTCAGACCCATTCCTATCTTTTCCTATCCATCCAACATTGTATCTTCTTTTGAACCTTTCAAGGCCTATAGTGCAGCTCAAATATTCTTGATTGTGTGGCCTCCTACAAAAGCATGACCAATTTACTAGAGGCTACACTCTTAGAGAAAACTCTCTTTCTCTTTCCCGGCAACTATTAATGGCCAATACCTCCTCAGCTATGTGTGGGACTTCATGCCAACTCCCTTCTCCATTAAGGTATTTGGTCTGGCTTGAGTTTGCATGGGTCTTGTGAGTTCATCTGTGCAGCTTCCCTGCTTTCTCCAGAAGACACTGTTTTCTTGTAGTTATCTGCTGCTGACTCTTACTCTTTCCACTCTGTTCTGAAATGACCCCTGAGCCTTGGGAGGAGGAGTGTGCTATAGATGATTCATTTAGGGCTTAGTGTTCTGTTGTCCCTTATTTTTTGCACCTTGACTAGCTGTGGGTCTCTATGTTAAACCCTATCTATTGCCGATAGAATCATCGCTAAGAGCATTTGAGAGGAGTGTTGATCTATGAGAATAATATGTCATTGGGAATCAGTTTACTACTCTGTCAGTTTAGCAGCATAATAGTAATGGTTTCTTATCTATGCTCATGAATTGTTTAGCCTTATGTTCTTGGCCCAATAATAATGGTGCCTAGTGTGGATTTCAT